GCACTGTCTCTCTAAAGTTTTACTCTACAGAAAACATTTTACTGACATTTGAAATAACGTGTCCAGTGTCACAGTGAATAAAAGGTAAAGTTATAGTTTGAGGAAAGACATATTCTTTTTCTAGTTGGTGCTCTTAGTTACTAGTTGTACTGCTACCAAGGAAGCCATGAACTCTTTAAAGTAATTCGTCTTAAAAATATTTCAGGCAAGAAAACAGGACATTTATCCATAAACTAGAATAAGAATATCTTTCAACTGGACCAAATAGAAATCTCAGAAAATTAAATGTATAGCCATTAATATCGTAACAAAGAAAACATCTTAAAGAGTGGAATTGTTATATCTGAATTCAGAATTAGTGAACACAGATAACACTGAAAAAACTTGAGAATACTATTGAGAAATTTAAAGAGGTGAAAAGATATAAAAATGCAGTTATGAAATGAAGAGTAGACCATGATGTTAACATAGCTACTGGAAGCTCCAAGAAATAATGGAGATAATTGAGATACAAGACAATGTGAAAAGAATCATGACTGAGAATTTCTAAAATTGAAGAAGGGTGTGTGATCTCACATCAAATAGCCCTTCCTGTTGAAGAGGAAAATTCTAAAGGCTTCCACAGAGGTTGCTCACAGGTCAGCAACCCCATTGACAGGAGCATTTACATCAGCAATAACGATGTCAGGATGTTTTAAAGTATAAATACTTTCAAAATGCTCGGAGAGAAGGGCTGGAACTAAAATTCCACAACCGGCTTAAGTCTGTCTACCTCCACAGATCCTTGATGGAAAAACTCCTAAAACAAAAAGGGTAATGAACTGAAATAGAAAAAGGAGGAGATGCCAAGCGACCTAGGCAAAAATATCAGTATGACAAGAAGATAAGACTCTCATAAACAATGACTATAAGAGCTAGAAAAGTAAATAATGGTGTTGTGTTTTGTTTTAAGCTGGAAAAATAACATGAGAAAAGGAGGAAGGTAAAGCTTTTATTTTCTTTGGGAAGGGAAGAGAGATGCTAAATAATGTTTAGACTGTCAAAATTAATTTAAATATACATTGATGATCTATCGATGGTCATTAAAATAATAGAAATTGTACCTACCAAATGAGTAAAGCATAACAGAAAGGAGTGAATAAACTCTGTGTAAGATGGAGAGTATTAAAAAAAAAAAAAAGGTGTTTATGAGTCCTAAGGCAAATTAGGGATAATTAGGGCGCTTCAGGGGCAGTGCAGGCAGTGCAGGGAGGGACCTCAGAAAAGTCAAGGGAGGCTCCAGAGAAAAGGACAACAAATTCCAAAAAGAAGTAACCAAACACCCCAGGACTTGGGGCAAAGGACATTCCTCAGGAGCAAGAACAATAAAGAAAGAGGACCCTAAGATAAGGACTGGGACAGAGACTTGGTTCTGGGCACAGAGACATTGGGGCAGTGAGACCACCAAGAACAAAGAGAATGGTGGATCTTTAGACTACTTAAGGAGAGAAGGTATCACCCCCACATCACTTCCTTACCCCTCCCTGGCCTGTTCCATTAGCCTGGGAGTCTCATTTTATTCCTGTTGTCTTTCTCCTCAATTAATTTTTTTTTAATTTAAGTATCATTTACACAAAATGAGATTGTAAAAATGCATCCAAATATATTATTGGTCACAGCAAATGAGAAAAGTCGTATTTACTGATTACTAAGGAACACACACTATTATATTTAAAACAAAGAGGGTATTCTGTTTGTTTAAACAGACACATAATAAACAGACAAATGCTCACTAAAACAAAGGTGAAGTAGCAAAGCTAATATCAGACAATTAAAATAGATTTAAGGGAAAAATTCATCAAAAGAGATAACAGATAATGTAGGCAGATTTTTAAAAAGCACTCAATTAAAAGATTTAGTGATCATAATGCTGTAGGTATTGAGCAATACAATTTCAAAATATATAAGCAAAAACTATCTCAGTTACTGGAAAAAACTGAAGACATCGATGTCATCTTGGAAAGTGTTAAAATATCTCAATCAGGAACTGATAAGATATATAGACATAATAAGTAAGCACAGGCATGATGTGACTAAAATGAATAACTACAGTAGACACAGATTTGTAGACATATGTCTCTATCCAACAGAAGAAAAAAAATGTGGTTTTTAGGCATATGAGGAATAGTTACCAAAAATGGCAACTAATTTCAACCAAATTTAAAATATACAGACCAGACTATATTGGCTGCAATGCAGTTAAATTACAAATCCACCATAGAAAGTTTTACTTAAAAAATTATACTTTCACTGGCCCTCCCTGGTGGTGCAGTGGGTTAAAGCACAGCACTGAGAATCTAAAGCCGCTTCTGCATGAGTTCGATTCCCGCCTGCCCTGGAGGTGACCACATGGTGTGGCAGACCTCTCCTGACCCACCCGCTGCTCCCCTCAGCAATGTACTTCGTTGATCTGCCTGTTCTGTTCCCTACTCTGTCTCTGGTGAAGCCTCTCACCGCCCCTGAGCCTCTGGCCTGTAACCCCAGTTCTGTATGTACAAATAAATAAATCTTTAAAAAAAAAATTATACTTTCAGAATGTAAAAGGCATAATTGCCTCTCCCTCATTTCTTAAGAATCCTAAGTTAAAAGAATAGTATGATAAAAATTACAAAATATTTAGACTAAGTAATATATAAACACATGTAACTAAAATGACATTTAGAGGACAATTTTGGCTTCAAATGAAAGAAACACTACGTATATTAACCACATTTTAAATTATAAACTAATTTGGAAAATAACAGGGTAGAATAAACATTAAAAAAAATAGAAGCTAGGAAATAAAGAAAAATACAAATGAAAGTACCAATTTGCTGCAACAATTTTATAGAGTATTGGGGCTGCTGGTTTTTGAAGCTTTGATTAATTTCCTCTGTGAAACAATCTGGGCCTGTGATTAATAAATATTACCATTTTTTTCCTATTTAAGATTTCTGGCTCTAGTGAGGTTCATTTTAATAATCTATAGTACAACTGAAACACATCCAGTTTACCGAGATGTTTTTAATTACTTGTACAGAAATATATATAAAAGGCAGTTAATTTTTTTTTCTCTTTCACTGGTTCTTTCTTATCAATTCTTAATTTACTTGTATTCTTTTTTCTTTTTCCTTTTTAAAATTGTTATTGAAGAAGCATTATTTACATCCACATTAGCATTTTGACAATACAGGATTTCTCCCCTCAGGTGTAGTCACTATGATTGTCCCAACACTAAAGCACTAGTCCTCCACCACAATCATACACCACAATCCTCACCAAAATCCTCCACGACAGTCCTCCACCAAAGTCCTCCATCAGTCTTCATGACAGTCCTCCACCAGTTTCCACCACAATCCTTCACCACAGTCTCTACCACAACCCTCCACCACAGTCTCCATCACAATCCTCACCACAGTTCTCTATCAGTCTCTACCACAATCCTCCATCACAGTCTTCCATCAGTCTCCATCACAATCCTCACCACAGACTTCCATCACAGTCTCCACCACAGTCTCCTATTACAGCCCTCCATCGCAGTTCTCCACCACAGTCTCCAGCACAGTCCTTACCACAGTCCTCATCATAATCCTCACCACAGTCCATTATGTTCTCACCCCTCTCATTTCCCCTCCCCTTCTGAAAGATCTTCCGTCAGTTTTCAAGGGTGTTTTTAAAGTTTGTCTTTGACCCTTTGTTTGGTTTTTGGTCATTCACTATATAAATGACACCAGCTAGTATTTATATTTCTCCTTCTGGCTTATTTCACTTAGTATGCTCCCTTCCAGCTCCACCCATATTGCTGCAAATGAGTATCTTTTTTGACTACTGAGTTGTATTCCATTGTATGTATACATACACACATATGGAATATATGTATTCCATTAAATGTATACAGACACAGATACATACCACACATTTTCCTGATCCCCTCATCCATTTTGGGACACTTAGTTTACTTCCATTATTGGTTTTGTAAATAGTACTATTGTAAACACTGTAGTACAGGGTTCCTTTTTGAGGAATTTATAGCATATTGTTATATCTTTTTGAAAATGATATTGAGAAATACACCTCACCTCATAATCCTGTCCACACACGTATATAGTGATATAAGGTAACAATTTCAGAAAACAATGTTTTGGATATATGTTGGATATTTATTCTATTTATTTATTTTAAAATGTTAGGTCATGATAACACTAATTGACTTTATCAATCAATATCAAGTCATCATCCACAATTTAAAACAAAAATTCTCAAATAACCAGGAAATTTATACGGCTCATTTTAATTTCAATTTTAGAGTTCTTCATACAGAATATGCCATTTTGCTTATTTTTAACTTAGTCTCCTGCCTAGCACTTAGGTATTTACATTTACCTCTTAATTTATCAGCCCAGACAGGATGAGACCTAACACATGTATATTTTAGCCAAATGACCCTTGAGTGAGAGGAGGTAGGAAAAGCTTGTTGGAGAAGGATAATTCCAATCAAGGACTGATGGGGGTGGTGGGGGAGTCCTCCAGCCCAGATACTCACGTAGGCACCCCTCGCCTTCTCTAAATCTGTATTCCCCCCACCCCACCAAACCACCCCCCACTGTGAAGCAAAATTGTGCTAACTAATCTCCAGGGGCCCTAGCACTTCTAACAGCCTCTGATTGTGACAGAGCTGAAGTAGCCCAGGGCTAGAGAGCCTTCATAACAAAGCCCACATCCTGTGTTGGCGGGAGAGTTCCAGTTAACACAAGAATGACCTGGGCACAGCCGAGGGCCTAGCCCTGCCCTGGCAGAACAAGCAATCTAGTGGTTGAAAGCTAACACAGCAGCGCCTGCAGCAGGAGAGGATTCCAGCCGCCACTCCACTCCAGAGCTGTCCTCAGCCTGCAATTTCCTCTACAGCTCAGGATTGGTCCCCAGGCCCAGAGGGGGTGTGGGAAAGAGCCTTTAAATATCCCACAGAGGGAAAGTCGTCCTGAACAATTGTGAAGTTTTCAGTCTTGCTCTGTGCTGGCTAAGGAACTGTGCTCAGAGCTAAGGAGCTAAGTTACTGCCAAAATGTGCAAAGGACTTGCAGCTTTGCCTCAATCATGCCTGGAAAGGTGAGAATCAAGTTATTTTGGTTTAAGATTAGAAGTTGGGAGATTCTTTATTAAGGGAGATACCCAGAGGCAATAGTGGGCCAGTGTCTTTTGTGGCTAAACTGAGGTGAAACAGGTGCTTAATTGTAAACTGGGGATGGTCTCCTCTCAGTTGACAGCATAGATGAAGTTCAAAGTTCTGAGGAAGAAATTGACAGCTGGGGGTGATGGTCTTTCATATGTCTATTAATAGCCAAATATAACTTCCTAATTTGCTCAGAGTCAAAAAAATGCAATACTAAGAGCAAGGATTCCCAGATCATCTTGCCTGGGTTTGAATTCTGGCCCCACCACTTAACTATCTGCTTGGCATTCGGCAAGTTACTTATCTCTCTGTTTATCTCAGTTTCCTGATCTGTAAAATGGAGGCAGTATTCACAGTGGAGTTTATACTATGTGAAATGCTCAGAACATGGTCTGGCATGTGTTAGATCTCTACAAATGTTAGCCTTTATAAAGGTCCACGTACTGGGGGAGAAAGGTTGGCTTGCAATGAGGCAGAAGGAGTTTTTTACTGTTCTTTGTATCCTGATTGCATTAGATAGAAGGAACTAGACTTTGGAGGTGTGGGTAGAAAGCCCTTGGGACACAGAGGTTATTTGTTAGTTAACTTTCTTTTTAAGATAAAGGGAGTAACACCTTTGAGGCTCCCCAAATCTGCCCTTGACTGGCTAATATTCTGGAGAGAACCCTAAGTATCTAGTAAATAGAAGAGCAAATAGCTGACTCATTACAAAATATAATCCAACAATATGACTTGACACAGAAAAGGGATGTGTCTCCTCTTCCTATTTTTTAAGAACAGATTTGATTAAATTTGGCGTGTCTTTTTTTACTTAACGGTGATAAAGTCACCCTGTCCAACCTCTCTCTATCCTTCAAGGCCTGGCAATGTTTGTGTTGTTCACTGGGCCACCCACGACTTTTCCAGTTTCTTAGAAGCTCAACACTTTTTAATTGCTTTTACAATAGAAATAAACTTAAAGAGGTAACATCATAGTAATGGAATGTGTCTCCAGACAATACTCTTTAGTGAGGGAAAATAAAACCTATTCTTACTTCCTCCTGTCAAAGCAAAAGATTAATTTTAATAGATGTACATGAAAGAAAGTAAAGTAGTTAAGTAATAGTTGTTAGATGGGGTGGGGGGGTCAGTTATTGACCATGGGACCAACTTCAAGGAAGACACTATTTACCATTATTGTCTATCTCTCTCTTGTAGAAGTCCTGAGAAAAGGGGAGAACACTGGGAGGTGATAGGCACCCATTCCCTATGGGAGAGGATACATGATTATCTCCTTTCCTATTTTCATATCTCTGAGAATTACAATTTGATTTTCATGACTTTAATGGATACTATTAGCCCACTTACTGTTTGAAATCATATAACTTTCATGTAGTAGATAAATCTTACCTTATTAATTGGTGAACAATTGAATCTAGAATGTTTGAAACATCAGCCAGCAAGGTAGTAGGATGACGCTGCCTGTCACAGTAAGTGTGAATAGTAAGTGTGAATAGGAGACAAATGTTCGCTGAAGGCTCAGTATCATACTCATTTTGCCCTTTGTGTTCATGTAATTATGCATAATACTTACAAAAAGGCACTATACTGTTGTATAGTGGATTCAGCTCAGCATTAATATTGAATCACATCTTATAATTTTTTTTTAAAGATTTATTTATTTGTGCATACAGAACTGGGGTACAGGCCAGAGGCTCAGGGGCAGCGAGAGGCTTCACCATAGACAAAATGGGGAACAGGCAGATTGATGAAGTACACTGCTGAGGGGAGCAGCAGGTGGGTCAGGAGAGGTCTGCCACGCCATGTGGTCACCTCCGGGGCAGGCGGGAATCGAACTCATGGGAAGCGGCTTTAGCTTCTCAGTGCTGTGCTTTAACCCGCTGCGCCACCAGGGAGGGCCCTCACATCTTATAATTTTTAATGACCTGTAAGCTCTAGGATATTACTAATGTTCTTATAAAATGTTATAGAGTGACCAAACAGCAAACTTGTTTGCATACATTACCTAAACCTGTTAATATACTGACATGTGGTGAATCTGCAATGATTGTGCCCCATTCTTTGTTCATGCAAATAGAATCATTTCCAACTGCAATGTTACCTGGGAGGAGGAATGTTCGAGAAATAGACTTGTGTTGCTGTTAGCATAGGCTGGTAGAAAGGATCTCTGATTATTCAAAGTGGGGAAAATGGTACCTGAATAAATGCTTCCAAACGTGACATGCCTGCATCTACTCTGTGACTTGCCCACCTGCTTCAACCTCCCCCCCCCCTTCTTTTTATTACAACCCAAGCTATAAAAGGATCATGGATACACTTCAATGCTTAATGATAATAACTTCCATGCAAAATAAGTTAGGAAATCGTATGCATTACAAATCAAATCTTTTATTTTTTTTAAATAGGTCTATTTTATAGAGTAGCTTTAGGTTCACCTCCATAAAACTGAACTTAGAAAGTAGAGAGATTTCTCCATATGCCTCCCAACCTGGTGCAATCAGATACCCCTATTGTCAATATCCCTACCAGAGTCCTACAAAAATAAAATCTGTTCTCAGTGTGGTAAGCTCTGCTGCAGAGTTTACCCGCAACTTCTCCAATGCATTGGAAATAGAATTCACCTACCAAACTAATTAGCATGTTGTCATTTATCATAGTGGAAAAAGAACTGGTTAAAGAGCAAGGAGAAGGTTAGGTTTATCATTATCTAATTTGTGTTTCTGAGCAAGTTGTTTCACTTTCCTGGAATTTTCTTATTTAGCAAATGACACTTAGATTAGATGTTCTCTAACATCCTTCTCAATTATAACATCCATTAAATAAAGTGAGATACACCTGGTTTCAGTGATTAGTGGAGTTGTAGTTTTTTTTCTAATTTACTTCTCTCTAAAAGTCTGAGAGCAGAAAAGAGTTGATTAATGCCAAATCACTAAGGATCCCATTCCCTCTCTGAAATCGCCAGGCAGGATTTCAGTGGTTTTAATGTTGATTTACATGCAAAATTTACTTCATGTGACAGTAGCTCTAATTCCAGAAACAGCCCTTTCTTAGTGTTTAAGGAAGTATTAAGCCAGAGTCAACTTTGAGGTATTGCTAGAAACTATTCGTGTGTTCAGATAAGTTGGACTGCATACTTTTATATATTTAAAGAGACCAATAATGCAAACATCAGAGTATCTGATGCACAATACTCTGCCCTTTGCTGGATTATGTGAGTGAGAAGCTTAGAAACTCAATAGGAAAAAAAAGAGTTGGGTCAATTGATGGTCTTACTTTTATGCATTTGCAACTTTGAATTTTAGAGTACTTTTGAAAATTCCTTTTATTTTGGAATCTCCTAAATTTCTCTGAATAATTATAATTCTTTAAGTAAACATTGCTCCATGAAAAAAGAAATACTCTGAAATGAGAAGTGTTACTACGATTTCAAAAAAACTGCTACCGAAATGTAATGCAACCATTATGATTATTATAGTACTTACAGCCCATTTGTTTTGACTATTTCTCACACCAAGTTCATAGTTTCTACTAAACTTAAAAGGGAAGCAAAAGAGTACTGAAGACTTAGCTTCTGACAATTTTCTGAGCTACTGATAAAGTAGTACCAATTCCTTACCTCTGCAGGGGTCTAGTTAAGCCTAATTTCGGTTTAAGATTGGAAAGGTTGCTAATATTTAATCTACAGAGGGACTTCAGGTCATCTTAAATGTGTGTTGGTGCTGGGAATTTTAGGAACTACAGAAAGCAAATGTGAAAGATTGATTGTGTAGTATTTTCTTACCAAGTGTGCCATTTGACCCCGTCTTCTCTGATTTATGCAAGTGTAAGACTGGACAGTGGAGCAGAAAGGCACCAAGCGAGCAGACTCACCAGTCAACTAATCTTCTCTTCAGGTTGTTAAGATCCAGGAAAGCACCAAACATGGTGGGTGAAGGCTTCTGGGTCTGCAGGATTAAGTATATGCAGCTATTACCAAAGACCTGAGCACATCCTTAACAATTACAGAAAATAAGATAAGCATTGAGTGCATTTAAGAGTGTGGCAATTGCCTTGAACAAATGGTAGACAAAAGCCAGAATCAATTTGGGACCATCAAAGAAACACAGAGATAGCCCAAAGCCTCTGGGAGGATGTAGAATCATGCTCTGTGAAAAGTTGTAGAATTTTGAAGCTTGTTATAGCTGTTAGTCTTAAGGCACAACCACAAATATTTCAGTGGCATTCTGTCATGTTAAGAGCATGAATGAATTGTCTAACAAAATTTGAATGTGAATCACTAAGAAAAACTTTGTTTAAATTCTTACTGATGAAACAACTTTATTTCTCTGGAGGCCTTTCAAACCTGTATGTTTGTCTTAAGCATAAAGATGAAAAACCAGGAAATCCAAGTCAGTTAGGGAGGTAAATAAGAAACAATCCTCTGTGCTGAATCCACCAGGAAGGAATAAGTGCACCTATTTATTTTCATAGAGCTCACAAGGGTAGAGGGGGTGACGGGTAAGTGGGAACTCATAGAGCCTTTGGTAGTCAGTAAAAACTGCAAGATACGATGGAGATGATGCCTAAACAAAAATCCAGAACTACACCTGGAAGGACAGAGGAGTTAGCGAGGTCTAGAAAGGAAGAAAGAAGGAAGACATTCCAGGCAGAGGAGCAGACTTACCTGTAGAAAGTCACAGAGGTGAGAAGGCCCTGCAAGACTGGTCAATTGGTAGCACCTCTAGCCTAGCAGAGTGGGTCTGCTGACACAAGATGGATCACCGAGCAGGTGCTGGATTCCAACCCCAGATAAACTCCTGGGCAACACCATCTGTCACTCATCTGGAAATTGCCAAGTGCCCATCCTTTCAGGGCTCTGAAGCTTTGAGAGATTTACCCAGGAGAAAGAGATGTTCCCCTTTTGCTTACAGAATTCAATGATTAAAAAGACAGTGAA